AGCTGAGATCTTTAAAGACACTGCCCTAGCTCAGAGGACAGCCAGGAATATCCAGTTCTCGATGCTTGTCGTTCCCTGCCTTTCAGATTTTGTTAGGAGTCCAAGAGCTGCTCAACGAACCCAACATACAGGACCCAGCACAGGCTGAAGCCTACACAATATACTGGTGAGTATTCAGACGATGCTTCCACGGCCTAGCTGTGGATTGACAATTTAGTTGTGATTCACGTCAACACCAAGGGCTTTCGACTGGGGGGGCTGGAGTCCCGCAGGCTCTCCTTCTAGCCAAGACCTCGTTTACTTAATCTTTCTCATAATTAGCTTTCGTTGTGGCTCAGCAGTCTGTGGCGGTTCGCGTCAGGGTCCGGTTAACTGACTTGAGAGGCCTGCGAGAAATCAGGGTGAAATCGGGATTAAGCATGTTGCAGCTTGTTGCTAGAGGGCTTAGATCATAAAGCTATTTCTCCATTCACACATAGCCATGAATCTGTTAATTCCCCATGAATTGTCCGCGAATTCCCAAAGATCCCATGTTTGTCATATGGACGCATGTACCCTGTCAGAGGAGTATCCAGCCCTGGTCCTGGTTAGACACAGTGCTTTATGGTTTTACCTTCATTGAAACATTGATAAGCCCTTTAAACTTAATCTTTAAATAACGTGTGCCTAATCTTTAAATAACATGCTAAAAGAATGACGGGATTGGGGCTAGCGTTGGTGACCCCCTGATTTTAGGGTGACCCATAAGAATCACTCAGCTGGGGCTCCTCAGGACCATGGTAGGAGACCGCTGTGAGGGTAACCAGTAAGAATAACTGGACTGGAGCTCTCCAGGGCCTGGTTTGGAAAGCCCTGCTATAAAACCTGTAGGACTGTGATTGACACTCCTCCTCTGATGGGTTTATCCTGACTTGGGGGGGTTACATGATAGTCCTTCATCTGTAAACAGAACTTCAAACTTTGTTTTAAGCCACTGCTATAAAACAAATGATAGTTGTGATGCAAAATGAATAAATCTGAAGTTGAATGCAGAAGGAATAACGTGCAGTATGCCCTTGCATCCCTTTGGCTGTAGTGTATTTTTCACACCTGTTTGCCATTTTCCTTGTTTTTTTTTTCCAGTCAGAACAGAATGGAGTACGAGAAGAGGGTGAGAGCACAGGCCAAGAAGTTTGCGCCCACATAGGCCTGAACTCTGACCTTTGCACTTTGACCACAGAAGCCAGCACTTGAGGAAGGAGGAGATGGGACTGGGGAGGGTGACCGGCAGGCACTTGTAAATATATATAAATATAGAGTGAGCTCTGCAGATGTTTTTTTTAATTTTAGCGAGTCGGTGTTTGTGTCTTAATGATTGGCCAAAACATGTAATTATATAAAAAAAATAAAATTCTGATTAAAGTCTTGTTTATTAGTACCAAAAGCTACTTTTCTTTTGTTGTTGTTGTTGTTGTTGTTGTTGTTGTAAGCACATGTTAAAGTGATGGCTCAGATTTAGTCCAGCAACAGGAGAAGCCAGAGCCGTTTAAAGTCAGTAGCTGTGTCCACATGCGCAGGCTGCGAAAGAACGGGTAAAGGTTTATTCAATGCTGAAAAGAAAAAGAGACGCACACCAGAACCGAAAGGTAATCCGCCATCCTTCCCTGGTTTTTGGGTGAGTGATTTCTTCTCCACGCCCGTAGCATTTCTGCTTTCTGGTGATTTTGTTTGCTTTGCTGAAGATCCAGTCCTCTCCGGTGTGAAAGCATCCTGACAAGGACAGAAACCTCCCGCAACAGGAGACCAATTCAAATATTAGCGAAGGGCGTTCCAACGTTTTGAGGGAACAACAAAGGAAGAAACACGACGTCCACAGCAGCGTCACCAGCCTTGAAGCCTCAAGTATGCGAGATATGCGCTATGGAGAAAGCACATTTC